CTATTAAATTTGGCACCGATCTCTAAAAACGTCCAGTCCCACACCTTGTGATATCATTTCTAGAGATATGTGTCAAATTTAATGGTGATCATTTACGGTCCAACACACATAGGTGTGGGAGGGTCTCATAGGATCATTACGCATATATATCTACATATGTATATATATATTAACAAAATAAGGATTTCCATTTATCGATCTCCTTCCTTTACATTAGTTGGCAATGGTTTTGTTTTAACTCAATGACAATACTTTGGGGCCAGGGGTGAAATTCGTCGAATACGAGAGATTTTTTGGTTTTCTTTGAGACTTTCTTAATTTCATTTTGAATTCTTCATAATTTTGCTGACCTTATGGATTGCCGTTTCTTTTCAAATTTTTAAGCCAAAGAGTATTCATGACTTGGTTTTTATTGTATCATTATTTCCTTTTCAGTTCTTTGTATTATTGACTCGCTTGGGGGGCAGGCGTGAAATTCGTAGATCCCCATTAACCTGTCAATTTTCCTACTGATTTTCTATGTTTGATTTGAACTTATCCACTATTTGTTTAATCTTTTAGTTGATACTTTTTAAAAATTTTATGCCACAACGATATTCGTGGTAGAGATTTTTAACTTACCTTTTATTTTGTCGTGGTTCTTTGCATTGTCTCGCACTAAGATATTCGTATATTAAGTGTTTTAAGATTTCCATTTATCGATCTTTGTTCATTATTTTATTTAGCAATAGTTTTTTTTTAACTCAATGATGATACTTCGGGCCCAGGGGTGAAATTCGTCGACCTCCAGAGATTTGTCGATTTTCCTGGCGACTTTCTTTATTTCATTTTAAATTACTCATAATTTTGCTGACTTTATGGATTCGTGTTTCTTTTAAAGTTTTTAAGCCAAAATGTATTCATTACTAGGTTTTTATTGTATCATTGTTTCCTTCTCGGTTCTTTGTATTATTTACTCGACTTTGGGGGCATGGGTGAAATCCGTAGATCCCCATTAGCTGGTCAATTTTCCTACTTATTTTCTTTGTTTGATTTTAAATTATCCACAATTTGTTTAATCTTTTAGTTGATATTCATTTTTAAAAATTTTAGGTCAAAAAGTAATTTGTGGTTGAGATTTTTAACGTGCCGTTTTGTTTGTCATAGTTCTTTGCATTGTCTGGCTCTAGGATATTCGTTGCTAAGTATTTTAAAATTTCCTTTTATCCATCTTTTTTCTTTGCATTATTGGGTTTGTTATTACTGCATGTTGGATGCTGTGTAATGTTATTGTTGTTGTTGTAATAAGATTTAGAATGAGATTTAGGATTCTGAAAAACCTATGTCTCATTTCATGTAATTTTTTTATGGGAGTTTACTGAAGATTGCACTACAACCCCCAATTGTGTGGTTCTAATGCTTTTGATTGGGTCATATCAAATATTGTGACCTGAAGCTTGGATTTGGTCTTTTGGTAATTATCATTTTTTCCCACTCTGTCATTTGCAAGCAAAATGATTCCCTCTTAAAGCTTATTATAGAAAAAAAATAAAAAAACTCATCCCATTGCTAATTGTTATGCTCTAGGACCGACTATGTGGATTAAATTTGGTTGGGAATTTATAATTGAACCAGATCTGTGAATTTAGGATGACATTTGATATTGGTCTAGAATATAATTTGAAAAGTAAAATTTGTGGCGGTGGTGTTTGTATTGCTTTTCAGGCATCATTTTTGTTAATGGTGAAATTAACAAATGTGAAAAAAGTTTTGGGCAATTATTCTGAAACCACAGAAAGTGTTTGATGAATGTTTTACAATGTTTAAAAACTTGGACTGGTGGTTTGACTCGCACCTGTGGGTGACTGACGGAGGTAAAATCGAAGCAAAATACATACCGGCAGTTATTTTCAAAGGAAGTAGTCAAAAGCTTGACAGATGATCTCTCTTCTCCTAGATCACCCGTTGCTTCTCAGGCAAATCGGACAGTAAATGGTCTATCTCATGTGAATTTTACTGGTACGTCCAAAGAAAATGAGGTTGCTGATTAACATGAGGCACCTAAAGTTACTACCTCACCAAAAGCTCCTTCCCATCCAGTTACCGGTACCATAAAAAAGCCCATTGGTGCAAGAAAGGGAAGTAAGACGGGAGGTCTTGGTGCCCAGAAGCTTACTACAAAGGTCGAATTGTTCTTTAGCTTACAGTAATGCAAAATTTTCCATTCCTAAAGATGACTATTTAACTTTAATCCTGACTCTTGTCTTGATTCATTGGTGGCATTATTTGTAGTTAATGAATCAACTGGAGAAAGCTAGAATCTGTAAAGCTGTGGTGTTATGAACATTTTTTTGTCTAAGGCCTAGTCAATTTGATGCAGCCAAGTGAAAGTCTTTATGATCAGAAGCCAGAAGAACCGGCTCTGGTTGTTAGTTCATCCACTATTGCCAGCGCAACACCATCTTTAGGCTTATTGTTTCCTTCACCATCTCAATGGGCACAATAACCTGACAAAATATGCCCTTATGAATGCTTGGGCTAGTTTTTCTTCTTTTTTAGGCAGCATTCAAATCTTGCATCTTGGAGATAGCATCAGGTTATAATTTTCTTCTCTCCCTTCTAATCACTAAGTTTCTCTCTAAGTTGAAGTTGGTTTTGTTTTTCGTCTTGTGTTTGGTAATTGCTCCAATGCTATGTGTTTAGTTTTTTTTTTCATCTTGTGTTTAGAAATTGGTCCAATGCTTTGTGTAGAGTATTCATGACTCGGTTTTTAACTCCACTGATCAACTTAGATTTGTCCATGACCCTTCCAAAAAACAAATGTTTTTTCTTGATCCTAAACAAAACTCCCCATGTTGGAATTGGCCTTTGTGAATTTTTTTTTTTGGCTAAATGATATTCTATTCCCGTTGGAGTAGAATGTCTATTAACTTCCTCAGGTACAACCCCACCTAGAATTAGTTTTAGGACCGTAAATTTTTGGTATGTAACCCCTTCAATCCATAGAATCTAAAAAATCCATATCCTACCCACTATGAATAAACAATGTCTAGCGATTGAATCGAGACTATCCAATTTTAGATGGTTAGGTCAGAGTGTTAGAAAACTCAAATTTAATTTTTTTTTTTTTTGAGAATAATCATCTAGAGACTCTTTAGTGGTTCCCAAAATTTCAGAAAAACCTCTCAAGTAGGTCTTCTACCGAAGGAGTAGAAGTCAACTACGCTCCCGAGGGAGGATAGTATATATCTTCTTTTTTTTTTTTCTCCCCGTTCTGTTTCAGATTTGGTTTGCCTCATTGGGCAAAATAACCTGACAAAATATGCCCATATGAATGCTTGGGCTAGTTTTTCTTCTTTTTTACGCAGCATTCAAATCTTGCATCTTCGAGATAACTTCAGGTTATAATTTTCTTCTCTCCCTTCTAATCACTAAGTTTCTCTATAAGCTGAAGTTGGTTTTATTTTTTGTCTTGTGTTTAGTAATTGGTCCAATGCTTTGTGTTTAGTTTTTTTTTTGTCTTGTCTTTAGTAATTGGTCCAATGCTTTCTGTAGAGCTCGACATCCATATCTATTGCTGATCTCTTTGGACATAACACGGATGATCCTAGCCTTGATTTGTCTGGAACTGATCTCATCAATCGGATTTCGTTCTAGGTACTTCTTCATTAGCCAAACTCATCCCGATGGATACCTTACTCGTCATAAAGCTAGAAATTTTGAGAAAGCTAATGATTCATAGTTCACATAGAATAATTTTTGACTTCTTATCTTTGTTTTTTGATTCCTTTGCTGAACACTAGAGATTGCTTTATTTTCTGGAGTTATTATTTTTTCTAAGGCCTGTTTCTATGTTTTACTGCCTTGTATATTGTAGATCTTTCAAGATTTTAAGAAAATTCCACAGCCACCAACTTCTAGATGGTCATTTTGTAGATGAAGTTTAGATGCTGAAACAATCGGGTGGCTTCTTCCCTCAGCCATCATCATTGAACCTTATCCCGACTATTTGGGATCGATTAGCTTCTTCTCTCAATGATTGTTAATGCGCAACATGCTCACTGCATTCTTTGAATTGTCTGGCTCCCCTCTATGGTATTCTGGAAACTACTGTTGTGTTATAAATACTTCTAAATTATGAATTTTTGTCTTTCCTTAAGTATTCATGCTGTCAATCCTCCATATTATTCTCCATCTAGTTAGCGTTCAAACGGTTTGATATACTCCTCGTTATGAATTTGGTTTTGCTCCAAGGAATAATTGTAAAGCTCTGCTATGCACAAAGGCATTGCTTCGAACTGCCTCCTTAGGGGCGGCAAAGCACTCTTGTAGTTTGAGAGTGCATCGCAAGAGAAAAAAAGCCTTATATGCGTGTTTGTGTGTCTGTAATGTTTGTATGTGTGTATGAATGTATGTGTAAGTCTCGCGGCATGCTCAACTGAGTCTTTGCCCTAATCATGGAAGGGTCGATATTGTTGTGGTCGTTTTAAGGAGTGCATTACTGGTGTACTTTGAACATTTAAAGTTTCTTATGTAATATGGATGTCTTTAAGATGCTGAATTTTGTAATTTTGTTTTCTATGTTATGCCTGATTTGTACAATTTAAATGATTAAGTTCTGCTCATGATGTAGAACATCAAAGAATGGGAAATTTACAACCTAACCCCTCCTCTCCACTGGATTTCAAGAAGCACCTCCCAATTACAACTCGTGCATGCAATGCCAACTCCCCTTCCACACCTCAAAACAACCATTTCTACGATTACATTCTGTTCTCTTTATTTTTTCTTCTAAGTTACATTCTGAACTTTATTCTACCTAATTAGTCCTAAGGCCTCAATGCCTTGAAACACACTCTCTCATTCTCTAAGGTACTGTTTGTGTGCATATAAGCCTCCTTGCCGTCTCCATCTGTCTCACAGTTTCTCTTTCTAAACACTTGCTCTCATTCTCTCATATGGACTTCTTTTGTCTCCACCCCTTATTCCTCTCCCTCACTCTCCAACACACCTGCCTCTACCCTCACTGTAATAATTTGTGGTTTTTTTGGAGATGGGTTCTGTTCTAAGAAAAAGAAGAATTTGGGTTTTTTGGGAGATGGCTGCTTCTATTCTGATAAGAAGAAGAAGAATCTGGGTTTTTGGGGATGTTGGTTCTTTTGATTTTAGAAGAGCACAATGATCATGAACACGGGAATTGAAAGTGGAAAAAATGATTCTTTGAGGAGATGGGCTTGTAAGTTAATAGAACTTGGATCGATTTAGGAAGGTGGACGACACTAAGAAGGGATTTGACTGTGGATTAGAGTTGAAAAGATGATGGTATACTTTGAACTTGAAGAAAGGGAAAGTTGCAGGGAGCTTTTTCATAAATGACTCTTT